CTCATTCAAAAACCTCTCATTTCTTGGATTCTGGCTCGAGGGAAGGTTACTTCGGCTGCGCCAAGTACCCCTGACTTAATCCTAATCTAGGATGCTCTAGTACTCAACTAACATCCTAGCTGAGAGTGACCTAGAAGGGGCTTTTAATGGGCATCAATGAATTCTTTTAAATGATTTTTTGTTATTTTATCCTTGTAACTATGAGTGCTTTTATATAACTTGCTCGACCTTGTTTTCGCAACTTGATCATTTGGAAGGAACACCTAGAGTAGCGCATCTTGTCCGGAGTCCAGAGCGTGGGCTTAATACATTCTCAGATGTTTCGCCGATATCGTCAGTGAGCCTTGCCACACCACTATTCGTCAAAGAGAAAAAAGAAATCAATCATTTTACCTATTGTCCGCTAAACTGTTGTGGAATCTCTCCTGTTCTGTAGTATTCACCTCGCAACACCTTTTCACTATCACAAATGCTTACATGCTTATTTAAACCAGATTGAGGTGTGCCTTTTTTGAGCGGATTTAGTAAGATTTATTCACATTCACCGCTGGTCCCACATTCCCCCTACTATGGTGGGACTGTTGATCCAAAGCTGCAGTTTAGTCCGCAATCCTCTTCCTCCAAGTCCTTTCAGAGTCTCCCTCTTGCTCCGTAGGATCCGTCTCTTGTCTGTCTGGTTCAGTGATTTCACTCAATCTCTGTCACCAAATCCGTGCTACTCGAGGCGTCATGTGTTCTATTCTGTCTCGAGTTTTTGATAGCACGTATCCTCCAGCCTCACTGAGCAAGCTCCCAAAGTCTAGCTACTCAAGTAGCATAGAAATCTAATCTAACGCTAAAGATTCCCTCATCACTCTACCTCATGTGCACCGAGTAATTCTCGTGTTCAAGCCTTTACTTCGTCTATGATCAAACACATCTAAGAATAGCCAACTATGCTCTCCGCCGCATATATCGCTCTTCTTATCATAATGTCAGGTCTATGACTTAGTATCTTGTGTGCCAAAATCCCGAATTGTATAGTATATATATAGCGTTATATGATCACTCTACACGAGCGTTTATGTCCCATGACATTTGCTAGAATTCAAGTGTCACATTCAACGTTTGTAGTAACCTTTGTCTCGGCTTTAACTTCTGTATTTGCAAATTCATAAAAATCCATGCAAAAACATATATTTGGGACTAAATGAATAGTGCTCTTAACTATCAGCAAATATATGTAAGGATGATTTAGACCATAATCCTCTGAAAGGCCTTAGCGTCATCTCCAACGGCTTCTGACGTCGAGTCGTGCACATCAAGTAGTAACAAGTCGCTCTTTAGTGCCATAACGCTAGTGCTACTTGGTCATGAGGTAGCTTTTTTTATCAAGGTAAGCCAGGACCCTGGCAAATTGCCTCTATTGGGAAATCTCTTTTTATTTAGATCTGCCTATATCGTTGGGCATAATATTATTATATAATAATATGTTATAATAACCTTACTAACCAAATTTACAACCTTAATAGAAACGCGCATAGTAAATAAAACAACTTCGGCTAAGGCCCAGTTATACATAATGGTTCAAAGTTTAATCTGTATCGTGTCTAAGCGATACGCTACCAAAAAATGTTATATTACGTAGAAGCAAATATTCCTTAAGTCTTTAGAATACCCAAGCCATAATGCTTACTAGACGACACGAGTCTTGGAAACTGCATCAGATTCACAAAAATTGACCATATTTAAAATGTGGGATTAGACCGGTTATAGACTTCTTATTCTTAAGTCAAGGAGGATTACATCTATTTTTAACTACATAGTTTCTTCTAAGTTGCTATATAATCAAAAAATAGTTTTGTTCTTGTAGCTTGAAAGGTACACTTTCATTAGGCAGCTTTTCGTGCATTGTTTTACTTTTTCAATAATTCCACATTTTCAAGACATACAATTTTATTAACTGAATATTGTATTAGGTTTGCTTAAGAGGTAATCATTTTTCTCTCATGCCATTGGAAAAATTCAGACTTAATAGGGATTATAGTGTACTAAGAATGTACTACGTCCACGGTCCGACCCTGGAAATTATCATGCATACTATGAACTCCGGACTAGCTGCGTTCCTCTAGGTCTTCCTACAATATGACCAAGCTGCGAAAACAAGGTCAAACAACTAGTATAGTGCATAGTTTTTCTGTTAATTTGGTTTAATTGCTTTACTTAATGGAGTCTTTTTATCCCTAAGGTTCTTTTTACTTTATTTTAATTAAATATATTGACAAATTTATATCGATATAACTATGAATTTTTCATGTTTTATGAGTATTGCCTTTTTCATATTTTTATTAATTTATGGTGGATGCTAGTGAGACAGACCTGATCCTACTCACAACTTGGCCTTTACTATACTTTTAACCTACTTCTGTCATCCGCAGTTTATAATCATGGTCTTGTCTCTCTCGCTTCTTAAACTAGCTGCTAATGTTGGCCCATCTTCATCATCACATGGACCCTATTCTTAGTGCAGCCTGCCAGAACGAGATCGGCAAATTTTGTGGCGTAGAGCTGGCAAAAGCAGGCGCCTCTTCTGAAACTAGTCTGGGCAACCCGGATACTGAGGCCAGTGTCATTGAATGTCTGAAAAGCCAGTTATTTAAGCATCAGCTTGCTGACCACTCAGACTGTCAGGCGGAGGTACTTCGCTTGGTTTCTGAAGAGCGAGTTGACGTGCACGTTGATCCCATCCTTTATCAAGCTTGCTCTGCAGAGCTGCGCACTGTATGTTCCTCAGTAAGTCTTTATTGTCATTTTATTAGCTAAGCCGTCCCTTTCATTAGCAGTTGCTCTTTTTACTAACTGATCTATTCGTTTTTAAATATTTTTTGTCCTATTGGACAAAGATTATTAGAACACAAAAATGCTTGCAAAGGTAGCTGGATCCAACGGTCAAAAGTGGCAGAACACATGGTAGAAACAGGACATG